ATAAGCTATAAGCTAATTTATTTGTCTACCAAACATAGCCTAAGTGGAACCGACCAAAAATAAAAAATAAAGTGGATCTCACTCCATATGAGTGTTGTACCATAGTTTTTAAACCCGGCCCGGGAATGGACCCGGGTAAGTCTTCGGGTCACTGGGTCACCGGTTCAACCGTCGGGTCACCAGGTCAATTGTTTAATCGGATAACTAATTTTAAAATTGTTTAAAATTATATATATAAAGTATTATGTCGTATAAATATACATAAAAGTAACAAAATTAAATGTTTTGATAAAATTTGTGCATTAAAGTTTTAATAATATGTATTTTATGATAAATATTTACCATATAAATATATATACATAGTTTTATTTTTAAAAAACAAAATATATTTAAAAAGTAATAAAAAGTATATATGGGCTTAGTCAACTGGGTTGACCCAACCGGGTCAATGCCCCGGGTCGTCCGGGTCAATGTCGGGTTTTGATCGGGTTTACCTGGGTCTTTTGTTGCCTGATCCGCATAGCCCACCCGGACCTGTTCCGGCTTCGAGTCGACCCGCTCACCTGTTCGGGTTTGAAAAACATATTTATGTACACTTTTATGTTCATTTATGATGTACTTGTAGCATTTTCCATAAAATTAATGAACACTCTAAAATGATATATTTAAACATTATCAATAAAAAATACTTACAAAAATTGCATATCTCACTCTTTTTTTTACTCATGTCTTGATACAATATATTATTTTAATTCTTAAATAAATGACCGTAAAGTTAGAAAATGGTGACAAATAGTATAAAACTTCACTGAATCTAAAAAAATTGTAGCGTATATTATTTTAAAGATATAATATTTACTGATTTTTAATTATATAAAATTATTTATTTTTTAATTTATAATAATCTATACTTATATTAAAAGCCATACTATTTACCAAAAATAGTAGCAAGAAAAGTCAACTCACATTTAATGCATACTTTATTTAGAAACTTTTTACTATATGCA